TCTCTCTCTCTCTTGCTGGCGCGCGCGCACGCGCTGTAACACGCTCTTTGTAATCCAGTTAACGAATAATTGAGGAAACTCTGTTTAGTAAAGGACGACGAGTTCCGACCGCCGGGGAAAACACGCTCGCCGCCCGCGAACCAAGAAGAAAATTACTGGGATCACAGAGGAACCGGTTGTCCGTGCGCGCGTGTGTGTTGCGGAAAAGAGAAAGCCGCTTCATTTATATATCGTTGCTGGAACGCGCGCTTATGCAACGGTGCGTGCAGTCATTACGAATTCCCAGTGTGCGTTACCTTGTAGGTGCCGAGGTTCTCGATGACACAGGGCAGACTCACGTCCCTTCCTAGCGCCACCGTGACGTTCGGTATCGGCTCAGCGAATATCGGCGGGTCCGAGAGCGCTGCAACATGCAATAATGAAAAGACGAGATGAGACGGTGAATTTAAGCGCGCGCCCAACGCGCTGTCTCACCTATGTGTACGTGCCACTTTCCGCACCGTTCCACCCCGTTCGTTCCGCATCTATACGGTGACCACCGCATATTGGCGGGCAGAGAATCGGTCCGAATCGCGCAATTAACTTCAACCGATGTTTATGGAAGCGTACTTATATAATAGTTAAATTCGGGGAACATAATTCCTATTGTCGGCACCGATCTCTCTCTCTCTCTCTCTCTCTCTCTCTCTCTCTCTCTCTCTCCCCCTCCCTCGATTCAAAACAAATTTAGTGCAAAATTCGATGTCGCACGCGCTCACGCTCGCGCGTCCACAGGTAATACGAATCCACGGGATAATGCGGAGGCGTGAAATAATTAACGACCGTTGTGCCGGTGTAAACAGTAACGCGATTAACTCACTGGTATTTTAGGGTATAAAAACGCGAATTGACAGCGTCGATAAAACGATAATCACCGAGTTGATCAATTCCTAGAGGGCCGGAGAAAAACAGACAGAGAGGAAGCGAGGAGAGGGGGGAGAGGAGGGTAATTGGCCCGCGCGGTTGCGTCGGCCTCGTGAATTTTTCATCTTCGAACGACCGGACTGTCCCGCCGAATTGCGGTCAACGATAAACGAGGACCGTTCGAAGATAAATGAGCGAAAAACGATTATTCGTCGGGGATAGAAAAGGAGGAGAGAGGGCCAGCCGGCATTGTGTCACGTCGCGTCCAAAATCCGCGAAATCGCGCCGATTTTTTCTCCTTCCGTTGTGTGTTCGCGAGAGCGCTCCGTGTGTCGCGCGAAATGAGATTAACCCTTTAAGGAGCTTAGATCGATTCCATTCGAGCAACTATCTGTTTCTACACAAAATTATTTTAACTCTCTACTATACACAAATTAATTTCTCGTGTTTAATTAATTTCTTATGTTTAAAAATTGTTGACGTACATAGAACGTTTAAAACTAAAGTACTCAGCACATACAAGCTGAAATTTTATTTTTCTAATTTTGTACTTTCCCAAAATAGATTTGTGACTCTGAGATCACGTTGGGCAGTTACTCTCGCTGTCAGCATACTAAAAAAAAGGCAGCCAAATTATGATTATCATGTCAAAATAGGAATAACATTCATATTGGAAATAAATAATGATGGACCTGGATTGTGACTTTAGAGTTACAGTGGACAGTGGAGGGTTACAAAGGACATTTCTGACACAGAGTTTTGTGCTGAAATTGATCGTCAAGGAGTACGAATTTCTGAATGCACACAATTACGTATTCTTATGTTTACACGTACGCCCTAGCTACAGAATTTAACAGATCTTTTAACTATGACAATGATTATAAGAAGGTCATTATCATAAGTTGTATCATAGTACATTGTACTAAAAAATGATACATCGATAAAAGTTGAGAAAAGAAAATTTGCTTACTTTTTTTCTTAAAAAGTTTTACGTAACCTTGAATGTTAACAATTCTGCTCTCTCTTTCTTTCTCTCTCTCTCTCTCTCTCTCTCTCTCTCTCTCTCTCTCTCTCTCTGCACACGATCGTCATATTGGTTTCTTCAACGGCAAAATCACTATTTCACGGATTGGGACAAAGAATATAGTTCTATCTGAGATGGATCGGTAGTATTATATTGACGGAATCATTACTGTATCAATGCAAAAAATTTCAAGCAGAAAATTCCAAAAGTGATTGTATTACGCTTTAAAGGTCTTTTAAGGTCTTTAAAGAGGTAAAAAGATTGGAAGGTATTTTTTTTTAGTGACGCATCAAGGAGACCACTCGTAAACTTACTATTTGTCGGACACAAAATTACGTTTCTATATATTTATTTAATCATCTAAATGACAAATGTTAATTTGAGACAAAGTTGAGATGGTTGAGTGAGATATACATATTCACAATATTACAAAAATACAAAAAGCATCATTTTGTTATCATTCTTATTTATGCTTTATTCGCGCATCTCGAGTATTAATATAAATAATGAAGTTTCTACTGCTGTATTTTCCAAACAATACGGCTAATAATTCTGAAATTCGCGTGCAACGATGCCGTTATATTGATCTTTAATATCATAGTATTTAAAATAGTACATTAAAATCCTGATTTTAGTTTGCAAGAAGTGAAAAATAGAAAAATTGAAAACGGCACGTCAACCCTGAGTATGTACAAAAAGTGTCAACTGTAGTTTCACGTATCTCCCGAATAAGACTGGGGGTGGGGGTGAATCTTTCCTCCAATTGTACGAGCAGTTGCGACAATATTTCAATTTATGTGTGATGCAAACTTCGAAGAAATTCCCAACAAGCTCATTCAACCCCCTTAAGTCTCTCGGCATTTTTCAAGTTCTCCAAAACCACGACACCTGCGTTCGTTATTCGGCGCGCTGCGTCGCAGTCGCGCGCTCTCGTGCCAAATCACTTTAATTTTACCTGACAAAGTTTAACCCGTCCCACCACGACGCAGCGCGGCGTCTCCTCTTCCCCGTCCCGTCCCTTCTTTATTCCATCGAGGTTTGTTTATTCAATCTCGCGCTCCTCCCGCACAGAGAGAATGCTTATTAGCATCAGGTGCTAGTAATGGACGGATTAATTATTTGCGCTCGAACAAATCGATTTCGCGGAGCGCAGGGAGAGCGCGGGAGGCGGGGGGATGGTTCCGCCACGGATTGGGGAGGGGGGTAGCTATTTTTTATAACACAACTGTAATCCCGCTAATGAATCGGGTTTTGCAATTATGCAAATGTGCACGCGCGGACAAATGATACCCCCGAAATGATCGCCGAACGAAGAAGAGCGTGACATGTGTACGTGAATGCATATTGCGTGTTGCGTTACGTTAAAATTGCGCTCGGACCGTCGCGCGGCGGGGGATGTCGTTGCCGTTAAAAAGGTGCGCCGCCACTGCCGCTAACACTCGATGTTACACCATTGCGCGCGCGCGATATCGCGTCCGCGAGACGAGAAAAATAGTCGGCGTTTTATGTTATCGCAGCGACGAATGAAACAGTTATTTTATATATCGCGTTAATAATTCCGGCTGGAAATATCCCGCTAAAGCTCGCGTAATATTCGGAAAATATTTCGGAACGCTTAGTCCACGTTCGTTTCGTGGGCGCTCAAGTTTATAAGCGAATGCACACACACACACACACACACACATACACAAGCACACGCAAATACGCACACGTACGCGCGCGCGCGCACTTGGAATGATCAATTACCATGCAAACGGCAGCATCGCGGAATTCGAGTTTAAATTTATATAGCCGCGATACTTCCCGTTTAAAGCCGAACAAAAACGCATATATTGTTACAGCCGTGGGTCTGCCTCCCCTTTGCCCACCGCCCAGCAGATAGTGCGCGTCCGTAGAATATTAAATGCACAATATTTTTATCATTATTATTCCCATTGTGTGCGCGCGCACGCACGCGTTTACACGGGCTGGAATATTCAAGCAATGTCACGGTATAATCCCTCATATTCTTTCGCACTTTGCGGCCACAAAAACCGCCAGGTATTTGTATTTAAACAACGCGTCGAGAGAGCGCGAAATTTGAATGGCGCACCGGAATCGCCCCGCGTGCGTGCGCCATGTCCCGCTGATAAACGTCGCACACCTGACACTCGTTTTAATGAGCGAGCATCGACGTAAGAATATCTGGATAGAACGTGTACTGTTAAGGAATGCGAGGAATGCGAACTTTTCCCTAAAAGCGGAAATGCGACAAGTGAAAAGTTCCACGTGACGCCGACGACTTTGGCAATCATATAACTTCTCAAACAGTGGCAATGTGAAAATTTTCATGTGAATCTTTTCACTTTTCACGAGTTCAGAGGGAAGAATACAATGATCGATATTCTGGAGTTGAAATCTTTATCAGCGGAATATTTATTAACTTCTTTCTGCAAAGTTTCCGTTGGAGTTATACTAGTTACAACTCAGAATTACAAATGCTCTTGCACGATAACAACACGTGCATAAATGAATCGGAACACTGCTCAGTATATAACAAGAAGGAAAAAGAATTTGAAAGTTGACATTTCAAATGTAAGGGCCGATTGTTTTAACTTCTTAGTAAATTAACTGATAGTTGATTTATATGTCTGTCTTTGTCCCATTTGAAGAAAAAACAAAGATAGACATGTAATTCAACTATCAGTTAGCTTACCAAGAAGTAACAACCAGGCCTTATACTCAAAATGTCAATTTTGATATTCCTTTTGCTTCTTATGATGTGATTCAGTTAGTTTAGCAAGAAGTAATTATCAGTTAGCTTACCAAAAAGTAATTATCAGTTAGCTTACCAAAAAGTAACAACCAACTCTTATGTCAACACAAAATATCAACTTTAATATTCTTTTTGTTTCTTATCATATATTGAATAATGCTCCAATTCATTCACGCATCAGCAATCCAATTCATTACATCAGCATATCAGACGCTATCAAAATAAATATTCGCCTGGTACAAAACATCTGTGGTTTGCACATATTGAACGCGAGTTTGCTCCGTTCAGAAACATTTCGAAGGATATTATTGTGCGTTTAGATCTGAATTTAGAAATTCAGAAATATTGGCAAAGTTTGCAGAAAGATTTATATATGTGGTTAATTTTCCCGCTAAATATACTAAAACATAGCAACACATTTACATTTACGTAAAATCTATATATACTAGAAATACTAAAAGAATAACGTAATTGTGTCAGCAACGATCGTCTTCATACGTTACCGATATTTTTGGAGTTCGTCATCGACTCCAGCATCCCTATAAGAGATGCCAAAGAAAAATAGAAATGACTACCTAATCGTCACACATCAAATAAATATTAATATGATCACGTTACCCTTCTCGTATATTTCTTGTATATTTACATCTTATATATTAAGAAAAATTATACGATAAAATGTTAACAAACGAATATTTCCGATTAAAATACCGATGAATTT